TTCTGCTTACCCCTAAAGTCTTTGCCTAGGAGGCCTTCTACTAGACAGTAGCAGGATGCAGTTAACATCTGCCCAAGATGAGTATTTTTATCGAGACACCATCTCTGGCCTTTACTCAACCAAGAGCCTCAAGGCAGGGGATGTTTAGCTGAATGCAGTTAACATCTGCCCAAGATGAGTGTTTTTATCGAGACACCATCTCTAGCCTTTACTCAACCAAGAGCCCCAAGGCAGGGGAATTTTTAGTCGGAGTTTATTTCTCCTAGCCTTTGCATAAGAAGAGCACACTCTGCAAGGCAGCAGGGCTTGTGGCAGGTGGTACTGGGTTACGTGATACCAGTAGCAAGATTGATCTCGATTATCCTGACCTGACCTGGAGTAGTTAAAAGGAGTTACTTTCCGCAACAGTACTTTGAGAAAACCAGGCATGACATTTTGGAAGTGCATTAGGAAAAACACTGCATCTAACAAAATACAGGAGTCTAAGGTGAGTGTAGGTTTTGTAGTTGGAGTAAGTAGTTAGTTACTGAGCTCACGCTGCATTAGAGTATAAACAGAACACAAACAAACATAAATCAACTTACGGGTGAGTCAACACCGCGCCAGAGGTTCAGACAGAACACAAACATACATAAAAAACATAAAGTAACTTACGGGTGAGCGAACACCGCGCCAGAGGTTCAGACAGAACAGAAACATACAAAAAAAAACATAAAAAACATAAACATAAACATAAAGTAACTTACGGGTGAGCGAACACCGCGCCAGAGGTTTAGACAGAACACAGACATACATAAAGAATATAAAGTAACTTACGGGTGAGCGAACACCGCACCAGAGGTTCAGACAGAACACAAACATACATATAACGTAGATTACAGGTGAGCTAATACAGTAACTAAGGCACCTCCAACTATATGGAAAAAAAAAAAAAAATTACTATAGGCATGACTGATATAAGATAGTACTGATGACAGGAAGAACACTCCTTCCAGCCTTTGCTTAGATAGCAAATCCTGCAAGGCAGCAGAACATGGAACAGGTTGCACTGGGTTACATGTTACCAGTAGCAGGATGATCATGAAGACCATACTCCTGACCTGACCTGGATGATCATGAAGACCATACTCCTGACCTGACCTTGATGGATACAAAAAGTTTATAATATATTTCAGTAGTCTTAAGAAAAGTAAACAACCTGATTCAAAAAATAAAAGCTGGCAGAGACTGAAAGCCATGATTCATGATCCTGTTTTGCCTGCTAAACTTAAATTTTTTGAGATGGTTTCTGAAAAGTTTAATAGTTTTTTGAGATGCTTTTAAACAGACACCCCTATGGTTCCATTTATAGCTATTATACTTGGTGAAATAGTTGACAATTTTCTCAGGAAAATCATACTAAAAGACCTTTTAAATAAGTGTAGCAATCTATACCACCAGCTTCAAATAAATTTAATGAATAAAAATATTAGAAAGCCTATAAATGAAATTGATATTGGTTTTGCTGCTTGGTTAAAACTTGATGAAGCTAATTTAAGTTACAGTGACCTAAGAGTGGTTGTATTTAAAACAGAGGCAGGCCAGTTTTTCGCTGATCTGTTGACTCATCTCCTTGAAAAGTCCCCTTTTAAAATTTGTCATAGTATGTGCTGCATTCTCTATTAACCCAATTTTCATTTCGAATCCAAATAAAAGGAATACTTGTATCAATGATTTTTTAATTCTGTTGCAAAAGTTAGTTAAATATGGTCGTTTGTCACCAAAGTTTGCCAAATTAGCAAAAAATCAATATTTTAAATTTTTAGAAAGAGTAGAATCAAATCGAAATTATTTCAAGATTTTGATAATAACAACAATAGTCTTGATAATTTTTTCTCTGACTTTATTGGAGCAAATAAAGCTTACCAAGATGTTTGGAGTGTTTTTAAAATGATTTTTGTGCTTTCACATGGACAAACTTCCATCGAGAGTGGCTTTAGTATTAATTAACAACTTCTTGTCAAAAATCTTAAAGAAAAATCCCTTATTGCCTTACGTCTTATTGAAGATCATTTGGCTTCCTTTGAAGAATCCCCTGGTAGTATCAAAATTAATAAAGAAATACTGCAAAATGTAAAACAAGCAAGTAGTCGATATAAAGAGTATTTGCAGTCACAAAGAGAACAAAATAATATAACAGTAGGAAATTAAAACGAAAAATTTTGGACAATGAGAAAAAGGTAGTTAGAGCAAAGTGCAGAATCTTGCAAAGTGAAATAACTACTATGATAGAACAGTCTGGTATGCTAGCTATAAATGCAGAAAAGCAAAGTAGTTTTGTTCTTTTGAAAGAATCAAATGTAAAAAAGAAACTCTGTCAAGAAAAACAAAAGGAAATCGAGGATTTGTAGAATAAAAATATGATTCATGAAAATGAAAATTTCACTGCTTAATTTTAAAGCATTTTTTGTACACATATTTATTGAGTAAAGTTTTAGTTTTGTTGTTTTGCTAAAACGGTATTTATATTATGAGTTTTTAAAATGATTCTGTTGTTTTTGAAATTAATTGCATTAAAAGTTTCCTTTCAAATAATAAATAGTTCCTTGTCAAATGTTTTTTAAATTTACACTTAGTAATGTAGCTGTAGCTGTAATGTATTCATTTAATTTACATTTTGATTTCTATATTAATTATTAAAAGTCCTGGAAAGTCCTGGATTTTATAAAAAAAATTTTGTATGTCCTGGAAAAGTCCTAGAATTGATAAAGCAAGTGTCCTGGAAAAAAAAATGTCCTGGAAAGTCCTGGAATTTCATCTGGTAAATCTGGTGAAAATCCCACCAAAATCTGGTGGGAATCCTGGAATTGCAATATTTAAAGATTTTTTAATACACCATGCTTCCATTACGATTTTTCTCAAATCTGTAATTTTCAATTTCCTCAAAGCAATAATGACTTTCACACCATCCCTATCAACAATTGGTATTGATCTATAACAATTAACATTTTTATAAACCTCTCTAATGGAAACTCTCTCTAGGTAAAGCTCAAATGACACTCTGTGAAACTCTTGCAATAAAAAAAAGTTTTTAACTCTCAGTTACATTAGCTGCATATTTTAAAGGTAAAATATTGCTGTATGTAGATGAAACCAGGCATGAATGATTGCTATTTGTTTTATTTGTTTTATGTATTTAGAAATCTCTATAATTCCCTGAGAGGTAAAATTTGGTGTTTTGATAAGTGGCCTTGTGGTTAAGAGCATCTTGCAGGCCTTTGCTATGGCATGATCACAAGTAACATAGTGTCAATTATTTTTATCCAAATGTCAATAAATTGAACACATTTTTTAGTCTGTTGACATCTCATACTTAAAATTTCTGAAAAATGTAGAGTTTAGTGGGTTTTTTTATGTCAAAAGGACCAAAGTTTGAACTTTTCCGTAGAATGAAGTCTCGGTGAGAACTAATAGAAAATTTACATTTTGAGAAACTTGAAAATAACAAAAACGGATCTGGATGTTTTGCCAGAGGTGGATAGCTGAAAGAATAATGTATGGCTCTGGCTAGGGGATCCAAGTTTTTTGAACTTATGGCTCCAGCTTCTTAGTTTTTTGCTCCACCTCCAGTGCCATTAAATATCTTTGAAAAAGTTTGATTACACATTTTATGTATTAAAAAAATCATTTTTAATACATAAAAATCAGATTTTTTGTTTTTAAAGTTTAAGAAAATTAAAACCAATTTTTAACCAGAAGCAATTACATCTCAACATGATGCTCAAAAGACAGGATGCAATTCAGTTCAATTAGTTTTAATATGTTGCAGAAGGTTAATATGGGGAGAACTTCTTTGTTAAAAAAAAATTGCACTATTTGTTATAAATATTTTGATCAAGAGTCTAGATGTCATTTTTTAAAAATGGTTTTTCAAAGTGAGAGTTAAGATTTAACAATGGTTAGTTGCTGTCCGTAAATACATGTACTAAGTATTTACGTAGATTATTTTATTTCATAAAGTTTACCACCATGTTTTTATTACGTTTTAATATACGCTGAAAAGTTCCAAACAACTGCAGCTTTGTTTTTCTTGTGTTAAGATTCTGTAAAAGTTTTCTTATTTCCAACCATTCTTGTAAATTTTTTTACAAGAAAAAAAAATAAAAGGAATACTTGTATCAATAATTTTTTATTGATACAAGTATTCCTTTTATTTTTAGCTTATTTTGATTTAGATTATGATATCATATTTACTTATAGCAAATTATGTCTGCATATTTAACAAATTTTGAATACGTTAGGTGAATATAAACATTTTGAATATGTTAGGTGTTTTATAATGTCATTAAAGAACAGGACAGAAAGAAGCAGACCTTAAGTTGATTCAAGAGATACTCCATCTTACATTAAAATAATATCTAATTGCCTATGTTTATGGAGTGCACATCTACTAGCAATCATATTTAAAATCTATTAACATTTTTTGCATGGAAACTTGTCACGTCTAGACTCTTTTAAACACCATAAACAGTGAAAAAAAAAAGCATTTTTGTAAAAAATAGCAAAAGAAGCTTAAGCTAATTCAGGAAAATGAATATTTTGATTCTCTGTCTAAAAATTAGCCAGAGAGTGATTTTACATTTTATGTTTTAAAAATGTGTTGACTATTGCAATTAATAATAATGAGTAAAAAATACTAATTAACGAGAAATCAAAATTTAGATGAGTTTATAAGAAGTTTTAAAGGACTTGAAAGAGTTTTTAAATTTTAACTTATAAAAAAGTTTATAAAAAACTAGTTTTTTATTTTTGTCATTGTATTTTGACTTTTGTTTATTATCTCTGACTTTTTTGTTTTTTTTATTCCATGTTTTTAGATACCATCATTATAATTGTTTCATGTATTTAAATTAAGAGGTGTGTTGAGATAAAGGTTTATTCCCACAGCTTTTATTAAGAGCTCATTACCCTAAAGTAAAAAAATGAAATTTGAATACTTTTTAATTCATTTATTGTTATAGGAAATGAATAGTAAGGTACCTGCAACAACTAATGGTGTTTACGGCAATAAAAATCGATATTTATTAGAACAAGGTTCACAGTATGGTCATCGTGAAACATGTCGTAAAGAATTTAGTGAGAAATCTTTTCTATTTTCTTCTTAGAAAGTTTATTGAAAAGTTTTCATTTTTGAAGAAGTACTAATCTAAGAATGTGAGGTGTTAAAAATTTTTCATAATTTTTCAAACAATACTTTTCATTTGGTAAATATTTAATATATAATAATATGCAATATAAAAAGTATTTATACTTTTACGAACATATTCCCTTTATAAAAGAGTTTATAGTTTTTTTATTATTAAATTTTAAGATTTTTTTCAGCAAAAATATTCAAAGTAGTGCTTAGAAATTAAATTGTTATTTTACTAATGATAATAGTTCAAACAATAAAAATAAATTTTACAGTTTCAAGAGCTGGATAGAGCTCTCATAATGTCATAAAAAAAGTTAACTGGGTTATATTTTTTCATCCTTTATTTGTTCTTCCTTTTTTTGTGTGTCAATTAGCTATTTATGACAGTAAGTCAATACTTTTTAATAATAAATATATTTAGTTTTCTGTTTAAATCTTATACTTTTGTTTTTGCTGTTTAAATATGCTAAATGTATTTTTTGTTAGAGTTTAACTGCTAAACTTAAGTGAATTGAGTAATTCCAAACTAAGCAGTTTTTTAAATCATAGCTTTTATTATTTTTAAATTTTGTTTGGTTTAAAAATTTAGTAAAGTTATTATTTTATAAGGTTGGATTCCTAGTTAAAATTGTTTTTGAGGTCAACAGCTTTTAAATAATAAGATTTTTAAAACAAGTTTACATAAAACTCTTAAAACAATTTTTTAAAATCTGTAATCTGTTGTAAAATTATGCATCAAAAATCTGTTGTTATTTTTTTACAGAGTATCTATTTTTTTTTAATTTCGAAAACATATTCGCTTTTGGTTAATCACGTTTTTACACTATTGAGGTAAAATGTTAAAAAAATTTTTATCTTTTTTGGTATAATCAAATGTTTATGAAATTGTTTTCATCTTTAATCTGCTGATACATAGGGAAACTTGGGTGTTCCAAAGTTTCTTATGAAAAACTTTTTAATCTTTTAAAAGTCATTGCTAATTTCATATAAAATGATTGAAATGTTGAATTTTTAAAAAATTGCTTTTGAGGTTTAATATGACTGTTTCTAAACATTTCTACAGAAACCTTATTTTTAAAAAAAATAATTTTAGTTAACCAATATTTGAATATTACTGTAAAAAGTCTTGCTTCAAAAACTAAAAATGTTTTGAAACTTTTACATTCGATGTTTTGCATTTTTGCATTTTGTTTTTTTACTTTTTTTTTTTACATGTTGTATTTTACTTTATATGTCTCAAAAAAAAAAGTTATTATTATAACTACCTCTGCATACCCTCTGAATTTGTTCTATATAATAAAAACATTAAATTTGAAAATTTTTTGAATTAAATTAGTTTTTAGGGGTTCACCATCTTTGTAAATTGCTCAAGAGTCTTGGGGGAAAGAGACCGCTAAATACTGAAATTCAGCATTATTATTTAAAATACATTCAGGGGGGTGTGCTCCAGGTATTTTGAACAATTATTGTTTATTAAGGCACACTACTGTGCATGGGTATTTTATTGTTTACCTTTTTTACACTTTTATCAGTCATGATACCACACATGTGGTAACATGACTGATAAATAAATTCTGTCAATAAATTAAGTACAGTTGGAACAAATAATTTGCTATTAAATATACCTTAAATGGATGATTTGGTATTTGGGCACAATAAAAAAGGTTAACTTGATAGTCAAAAGTGTGTATGGTTAAATAAAAAGTAAAAACTTTAAATAAGCTTTTTATTTAAAATATATTTGTGGTATTTATAAATTTAGTATAAATATGTTAAATAATACTATTTACATATAAAGCTTATTAAAATATATAGTGACTTTTATTTTATTAAAAAAAAATTTATTTCTATAAGTTGACAATTTTAATAAATTGGGAAAAATTATTTCTATATATATTTGTGTTGAAACTTAAAAAATTACTTAAAGTTTAGAGATTTTCATTTTGAGAATCAAATTTATTGATATAAATAACTAAAATATTTTAATAAAGTTTTTTTCTTTTTCTAAAACCTATAAATAAGTATATATTTAAATAACATCACCATTGTTACTACACTTGTTACACCATTGTCATTGGTACAGTTAAAGTTTTTTTTAATTTTTAGAAATTAACAAAGAAAAGTTGTTAAAATAGTTTTTCAAATTTTTGTATCTCAGTAAAAAAGTTAATTATAAATATGTTTTATAAATAACCTAAAGAATATGTAAATTAAATGTTTGCTCATGCCATATATATTTATACCAACAAAACTAGGTCAGATTTCCTGTTACTGGTAACATGTAACCCAGTACAACCTGCTTCATGTCCTGCTGTCTTGTAGGATTTTTTAAGTAAAGGCTAGGAGAAGCCAACTCCGACTTGAAACATCCCCTGCCTTGGGGCTCTTGGTTAAGTAAAGGCTAGAGATAGTGTCTCGATAAAAATGCTTATCTTAGGCAGATGTTAAATGCATCCTATCTTGTAAAAAGCCACCTAGGCAAAGACTTAAGGGGTAAACAGATTCTATCTATTGACCAGTCTTGCACCCCTTCTTTATCTATTAGGCTGGTATAGTGTACTTATAATAAATTGTCACCAGTTTAGTACTGTTTCCAATTGAAATAATTACTTCCATATCTTTCAGCAAACAATACTCCAGAAAACAGACGTCTGTTTACTATTACTAGAAATAATTATAAAAAGATTTTGTCTAACACCAAAGGCAGCTCAGATCATAGAATTTCATATTTCATTTAAAAATTAGTCTCTGGTAACTTCTTGAGAATCTTTAATCAAATCAAATGAAATGTATTCTGAAATAGATTTTACATTTCATGGAATATTTACATATAGTACAAATACTTATTTTAAATAAACACAATAATAAAAAACTAAAAAAACATAAACAGGACTTAAATGAAAAATTTTATGCAATGAAAATAAAGTTAGAAGTTATTTATGACAAAATTTAATTTACTTTTATATATCTAACATTTAAGACATATATATACCTCAATAAAATATAGCAATAAAAGAAAAGTAGATTGTTACTGTATATTATGTAATAATATACAGTAACAACGTTATAAATAATATAGTAATATAAGTATCAAAACTCCAATTATTGGTAATAATAATCAAAATAATAATAATACTAATAATAATAATACTAATGATAAAAATAACAATTCTATTAATAACAATAGTAATAATAATAACAAAAGTAATAATAACAATAATAACGCTAATAATATTAACAATTATAAAAATAGAAATTTTTATTATAGTGAGAGTTTGAAATAGAATATTAATATAAAGAATAATATTAATTTGAGAAAAAGTTAAGAAAGTATTAGTAGTAATAAATCAGCATTGAAAGGAAGATATTGCTAGAAAAAAATTTGAAAAAAGATCAAGTATTAGTAGTCATGTGTTTGAAAAGAATATTATTGATATTCTAAAATTATTTTGGAAAAAATATTTTTACTATTGAATTCACAAAGGTTCAATTGTCCAAATAACATTTTTTCACATTTTTCTTTTTTTTTTTTTCATTTTTTACCAAAATAATGGCTGGATACCACCTTAAAGATGGTACCAAAATGTTGATTTATAGAGCAATTCAAGTTAACTACTTTACAGAGTTGACATGCAGTTATATATTTATATGTTTAATATACATAACTAATAATAATATATTTAACTATTCTAAATCTTGATCTGAAAATCTGGCAGACAAATAAAAACTGAAATCAGAGATATAGATTGGTTGCAAGTTTTTTTTTTTTTTTTTTATTTGTAGATGAATTGTTAGACTATCATTGCCAAAAATTTTACTGAGACATCTCTATTTTACTGTGACTTTTTATTTTAATATGTAACATGGTAGTTTTTTGAAAACTTAGACCATCATTAAAATGTTAGATTGTCAAAATTAAGGCTCAAAACTGGTGAAATCTGCAACAGGCTAACTATTTTTTAGTTTAATTTTCTCAAAACCAAAAACTAATTATTTGTTTTTATAAAATACGCAAAACTGATTGTTAATTATACATTTATAAGTTTACAAATAGTTTTTTATTGTTGTTAAGTTGTAATTAGATACAAAAAATTTCCTGTTCTGAAATGTTGAGAAATGACGAATATTGTGAATATATTTAATTTTAAAAAGTACTTTGGTAATGCATTTAGTTTTATATATTTCCATATTTTTGTACCAATAATTAATACTTTACCGATTGACAGATTATTTCAGCAAAATTTAATATTTATGATGATTAAAACAAAGTGGTAAAAAACCACTAAGTCGAAATGTTTTATCTACTTTTCCTTTTTGATCATTTTTTAAATACAAATTAAATAAATTTTCTAATTCTTAAAAATAAGAGTTTCAAAACTGCAAAATAAAGCATCAGGGTTGTCATCTTTAGTGCAGCACTTGCAGCAATCAATATTTTAATTTTTTGCGGTTGCAATTGTATTTGAAAAGGCAAACAAAAGCAGTTTTGTGTCATTTTTTTTAAATAAACTAAAAATATTTATTGTCACTAACACAAAATTGACAACTGTCTAAAATTTATTAAATGCTCTTGTATAGATTAACCTACATCCTAAGAAAGTGGGTTTTTTTAATTTCCAATAATTCTGTACAAACTTACATTCTTCTATGAAGTTTGATCTGTCTAATACACTTGTCTATGAATAAATCATGTTTTTTATTAAAATATTATTTTGATAAAAAAACATTAAATGACAGTTACTTTATTATCTGCTATTTGCACTTTGAAGAATGTGATTTCTTTGCTTCCTATTGTTATTGAGAAATAAATAAATATATATATATATA